ATTTTGTCAGGGATGGATCTCGTAACATAGTTCGGCAATGGTGAGCAAGAGCACCTCCATTGTCTACGTACTGTTTTCTTCATATTTTGGTAGATTTTAGTATTGGACCTACTATGGACGAGGACAGAAACAATCTGTCGGGAACGGCATGTATACTGTCGGGAACGACAGATTAACTGTCGGGATGTAAGAGCATAGGTTCATTTGTGTAAGTATGAAACTTGTGTTTCCCTGTATGGATCCCTTGTTTACTAAAAATTGACGTACCCTGGAATGAACAAGTTCACTGTTTTGACAACATAGGTTCGTCGGGATTTCGTGGTTCGGGCTTAATACATGAACTTGGAAGCATCGAAAAATAAGTTATTTTTAAAATTCTTTGTAGATGGAGTTAGGTGTATATACGTACGTGGTGTCTTATGAATAAGTCCGTATGGAAAAACTACTAATCAGGTCAGCCGTAAACCGTCCTTGAAACATACCGTTTTTGTTTGTTGCTAAATTAGAAGACGATGTCTGCTGTTAAGAAACGATAATGGAATGTAAAAGAAATGTTATGATTCAAAATATCTGTGTAAGTAGAGACTTGAATGGGTAATAGTGTAGTCATGCAGGCATAAATATTTCGGACCAGTCAGATTATACTCTGTAACCATCTGTCGAGAATGACAGTTTAACTGTCGAGATGTTCTGAAGGGATATCAATTACAATATCTTCTAACTAGTTGTGATCATGAGAAACACTAATGTCAGCAAACAAACGACAATGATAAAAAAATGAGAACATTTACATTCTTTCATTACAAACGACATAGGGGTGCCAGTTCACATATAACTTCAACCACTTTTGAACAAAAGTCTATTTATTACAAACGCATATTTAAACGGTCCGTGGTACAATGGGGTTGGAACATGTGCTACGGTCGGTGGTATAATGGGGTTGGAATATGTGCTCCGATTATGACCTAGTCCACCACAACGAGTGTATTTCCTCAGTCGTGTGGCGGACTCGAATCTGGATCAGTGACGTCTTGTGGGTGGTCTACCCGGAGGACGACGTACATTGGGTGGCCTAATAGGAGTACCTGTAATTTCATTTGGCACTATCCAGTCCACTTCACACATAACGGGATATATAGCTTCGCTATAGGCACCTCTCCAGTATTTCGATGTGTAATACGGTGAGCATAAGTCGTACAATGATATACCTCGCAAGCAGGCAGCTCGAGTGGCATGAACACATGGCATACAATTAATTTGAAACTCACGACAAGTGCAGCTGTTATGAGAGAAGTCGATGATGTCCGTGTCGTTGGACATTCCAACCTGTGTTAACTGTTCTATCAAGCCATGAGCTCGAAGCCTTGTACCTGCTTCAAATGTTGTCCGCAACTCGTTGTCCATCCTGAACGACAACCCGCCAGTACATGTGGTTGCACAGGTTCGACGTTCGTGAAACCACTTCTGCATAGTTTGTCAAATGTGTTCGACCAAGCACGTGATCGGTAATGAATGGACATGTCTCAACATTGAGTTCAAAGATTCGGCATTGTTATTTGTCAAAATGTTGTACCTTTGACCAACAAACAGTGCTCGTAACCAAAACGAGAAACCTGCTCGCTCTAAGTACCCGTACGCTCTTACACTTACCCTACGGATCTGTCCCATAAGTCTTTCAAACTCTTCGACCCGAGAAGTTCGTGCAGCTCGTTTGAATAGAAATATTACACTTGCGTTGTTGTACCGCTGGACTAAGTTCTTTTCTAGATGTCAGATACAGTATCCATGATGGGACTGAGGAAATAGGTGAGCAATGGCATTGGAAATGCTATTCTTCCGGTCGGAACAAAAACCAATTCAGCAGAGTCGCCTATAAGCTCTTTCAAGTTGGACATAAACCACACCGATCTATTTGTTTCAGCATCAACGATCCCCCATGCCAAGGGATATATATGTTTGTTGGCATCTTGGCTGGTTGCCAGCAAAAGTGTACCTTTGTATGGACCTTTCAAGTGACTACCGTCAACACAAATAACGGGCCTCAAGTAGCGCATGTAGCCACGAACGCTTGTACCGAAAGCTAGGAAGAAGTAATGAAACCTGTTATGGGAATCAACTTCGATGTGGGTTACTGTCCTCGGGTTACGCTCTCCTAGAACATGACAATAGGAAGGTAATTTTTGAAAACTATCCCCCGATGTACCATGTAGCATATGTAAAGTGGCAACTTTCGCCCTATGTGATTTTTGGTAAGTTATTTTGACACCAAACTCGCGTTCTATGTCACGTGCAATAGCGGTAGGATCGTACAACCGGTATGGATTACCTAATTTTCTCAAAATGTGCTCGGCAATTACAGGAGTAGTGGCATGTCGATGTGCATTACGATGGATATCTACCAAACATGTGTGCACATGGTTGAATTTTCGGATCATGAATATAGACGTCTGTTTCACACTCGAAGCACGTAACATCCACTTGCGATTACGGTCCACGCATGCAACGGTTAACATTTTATGGCTTGACCTGCTTACATGAAATTCAAACTTGTCTTGCAAAGCAAGTACACGAATTTTCGAGTACAGCTCTTTCTTGCTCAAGAATATTTGTCGTTCAACAAGATCGGATGTATCCACAGCTGTAATCCATTGGTCTATACCCGAACGAATAAGTTGTGATGACATTTGGGCATCAACGTCTGCAATACTAGCAGCATCTGTACCATTGAATGGGTCATCCAACATATCGTCTACAGGTGCAGCCCCATCATCAAAATTCCCCATTTCGACTGCATTATTCACTGGGGAACTAGACTCATGATTCATGTCATCGTGTTCTAAGTTTTGGTGAACATCCATTGCGACAAACAAATGGTCACGCAAATTCATATCCCGCCCCATCTCAACAGTTCGCATATTTGTCTCCACAATATTAACGCACAGAGCAGTTTCCGTATGAACAGATATGTACCACATGAGGTCTTCATCTTCACGTATTTCAGCTGGCGGTATATTCA